GGGGGGGGTTGTTTTGTTTCTTCGTTTGACATGTTGATTTAAGAATAGTCAATAAAGTTTACATCATTGCTAATTATTGAATTTGTTATCCAGAATTTCAATAGTCGTTTTGTTATTTGTTTATTTCTGCTCCCATTTGTCAAAGTAAACAAATGTGTCTGAAAAGAACCCGTCTTTGGGAGGTTCTTACTTAAATGACAGATACGGTAGAGACCTTTTACGTAGGTCATATACTACAATGACAACAGCGAAAAAAAAGAAGATAAAGAAAAAGAACAACAACAATAGAAGCAGCAAGCAGAAACAGCAGCAGCAGCAGCAGCAGCATCTCACAGCAGTGTAACTGTCAGCCTTTCAATTGGTGGAATGGCCTTCCTCCAGTTCGTATTCTGCTTTTGAATATGTAGTCCACATAATTCCAAAATTCTTTGGAAGTTTGCCTTCGTCATGCCAAAGTACGCCAAGCATGTTTCGTTATCATCAAGAATTTGGTGCAACATTCTAAATTCACCAGTTTTGCCTTGTTCTTTGCATATGGGATGTACCCAGAATCGGCGGTGACCTTGCATATACCTCCTCTTCAACCACCACCATTTTAAAAAATCTCTTCTTCCTTGTTAACGCCATTTCTCTAGATCTAGGTCTGGTGCGCAAAAAGAAATAACGAAAGTGTAAGGACACTGTGGACACGGGCTACCCACTAAGTTAACGTACGAAATTTGTGATGAAGCGTGAGTGCAGACGCTGTGGACCCCGGCTCTTATTCACACATAATTACGAACGGCTTCCATAACATTTATTCACACATAATTACGAACATCTTCCACTACTTCCAGAGCATTTATTTCCACATAATTACGAACATCTTCCATAGCATTTATTCACACATAATAAACGAACATCTTCCTTTACTTGACCTCTCCTCACAGTTGACCCTGGCTGACCTGGTTCTCTTTGACGTCATCACTGGCGTGGTGGCCAACAGAACCTGTGGCCTGGACAGTTACCCTCTGGTCAGAGCTCACGGGGACAAAGTTGCCGCCATAGAAGGAATCAGAGCCTGGGTGGAATCTCGACCTGCCCTGTAGATGCGCTGTAGTGTAGCAGGAACATTTAGTACTTCGACAAAGATTGTACATAACAAGATAGTTCACTCGGCCCAAAAAGTATCCGCGGAAGTCCCTGCAGTGGTTCAGACGTCGTTGCAGTCTTTGTTTTGAAACTCTTTCGTTTCTCCAGAAGAAGTATAGAAATAGCCCCCCCCCCCCTTGCGCACCAGCTGTTCCGGTTCGCTCACTGCGGAGTCTTGAGTTTATTTTTTTTCTCTCCCCTCGTTCTAAAGCCAAATTAAACGAAGAAAGCAGTTGCCCCTTCCACCTGAAGAGAATTTTTGTCAGCGTGGCTATTTAAAAAGGCGTTATTCCGAAATTTTAAATAGATCTATAATTTATACAAAAACTTGTTAGTTTCACTTTGTTTTTTTCCCCCACACAAGTGGGGTAACTGTGTGCACAGCGGGCGCTTTTACAAAGAGGGCACCACCGGATTTTGAGGGTACCTTGGTTCAAAAAAGAGGAGTGAACCATCTTGTTATACAGAATCTTTGACTTTGATCAACATTCGATGAGAGTGATCGATACTTTTTGTATTTTGATGATGATTAAAATTTGATAAAAATGACTGTTCTTTGTGACTCATTTATATGATTCAGTTTTGTTGTAGTTTTTTATGTACTTTTCTCATCATCTTTTCGTCAGCTCTTTATATCACAATGGAATGTGAGATAAAGGCTATATTAATGATGAGGGAGGGAAAGTGAAGTGTTGTGTGTACGTTTGTGTGTGTTTGTGCACGTTTGTGTGTGTTGTGTGTGCACGTTTGTGTGTGTTGTGTGTGCATGTTTGTGTGTGTTGTGTGTGCACGTGTCATACGTGTGCACGTTTGTGAGTGTTGTGTGTGTGTGCATGTTTGTGAGTGTTGTGTGTGTGTGTGCACGTTTGTGAGTGTTGAGTGTGTGCATGTTTGTAAGTGTTGTGTGTGTGTGTGTGTGTGTGTGTGTGTGTGTGTGTGTGTGTGTGTGTGTGTGTGTGTACGTTTGTGAGTGTTGAGTGTGTATGTTTGTGAGTGTATGTTTGTGAGTGTCGTGAGTGCTCGTTTGTGAGTGTCGTGAGTGCTCGTTTGTGAGTGTCGTGAGTACTCTTGTGTGTGTACGTTTGGGAGTGTTGAGTGTGTATGTTTGTGAGTGTATGTTTGTGAGTGTCGTGAGTACTCTTTTGTGAGTGTCGTGAGTACTCTTTTGTGAGTGTCGTGTGTGCATATTTGTGAGTATGTTTGTGAGTTCCCTCAACTCTCCCACCACATCTCACCAGCAAAGCCAGAAATTAGGAAAACACTTTTGGACAAGAGCAATAAAAACACATATCCTGAAGCACTAAAACTTTCTGCCCTTGAAACAATTGATTCCTATCCACCAACATGGATCCACTCATACACTGATGGATCTGCCTTTAAGGCAACAATCAACGCTGGATATGGGTCAGTGATCAATTTGCCCAGTGGGATAAAAAAAAAGAAGTCTTTAATTCCAGCAGGTCTTTCTGCTCCAACTTCATTGCCGAACAACAGGCTATCACCAGCACAGTAAACTACAACTACTTGTTTGACACTAACCCGCTTGCTACCACAGACATCGTTATATTTACAGACAGCCTTTCAACACTAGAGACACTTGAGAGTGGGACTGATGTGAACAAGTTATATTGCACTTGATTTGGAGTCTACCTAATTTGGTCAGAGTAGTCCGACAATGGATTCCTGCCCACACTGGGATACAGGGAAATGAAGAGCTGATGCTCTGGTAAAGAAAGGAGCTAGCCTCCCTCAGCCTGAAATTCCTACGAATTACACCACCTGCTGCCAAATGATCAAGTCAAACCTCAAGGAATAGTGGATGAATGATTGGGCCACAGGTACGACAGGAAGGAGGATATATGGTCACATGAATAAACCGCTGGTCAAAGATCCAATCAATGAGTTGAGGAGGGGAGATCAATCCATAATCTTCCAACTTAGAACACAACATGTACCCCTCAGCCAACATATCAACCGAATTGGAGTAAAGCTGTCTGCAGCCTGCCCACTATGTGACTACCCCTCAGAGACAGTGGAACATCATCTGTTCTTCTGTAGAAAACTGATTTAAGGGGACGTTTTCTACCCATGCTACCCCACACATCTAATTGCCTCTACTCCTCAAGACAACAATTAGAACAAAACATACAACTATTACCGAATGGCATCATGCAGAAGAGTTAACGCTCAGATGCTACTGGATCGCTAACAACAACAACAACAACAAACATTTGCACCCACCTTCTGGTGTTTGATGCTTTTTTAAACTTAACGAATTCAAATAAAACAAAATGTTACACTCAAGTGTTGTAATTTCACAATTTATTAAGATTTGTTATCAATACATTTTTTTAAAGAAAAAAATTCAGGGGAAAGTCTTAGACGATTCAGAACGTTTCAGAAAATTCCAGAAAATTCCCGTTACATTATTTTTTTTCCTGAGCGTAATCGAACACCAGGACCCCAACAAAACGGTAGTAATCTGTTGGCTTGGAACTGACTGCTGTTCATCATACACACTAATTCCTTGTATTCAAAAGCAATGGTTGGAGTTGAAACCTACAGCAAAAGTCGTGGGAAAAACCATGTTGGAAGTCCAGTCTCCGTTGTGGCGTGGGAGGTCCTTCCACCCACCCCGCGTGAACTCTTACAGCTGGTCATTCGCTTCATTACTGGAACAGTTTCAGGTTCAGGGCGCCTTTCAGTTGTTGGCAATCCGTCAATAGGTTGTATCTGTACGGACAGAGTAAAGGAAATGGAAGGCGTTTTTTAAAATAAATATAAATAAGTCAATTACATTTAAACGAATAAAGAAAGAAATTACATTAATTTATTGATACCCGAGGGGAAACCGAAATACAATGATATACATTATTAAATAAATACAATGATATACATTATTAAATAAATACAATGATATACATTATTAAATAAATACAATGATATACATTATTAAATAAATACAAAAGTTTCCCTCTGTGATAAAACAAAAACAAACTGTTCAACTTTTGTTCTAGATATTGTTACAGAATTTATTTCATTCAAAAGTTCATTGTGGATACATGCACTTTTATAAAGGAAAATGAACATTGATGCTTAGATCGGACTGTAAAACGAAGCAAAGATAGTGAGTAATAGTAGTAAGTAAGTACGTTTATACAGTGTAAAAGACAAATGGCCTGCATTGCATCACATGAAACACTCAAAGTTTCCATAAGGCTCTCGGACTCGCAACCGTAAGGTTGTGGGTTCGAATCCCGCCAAGGGCCCGACGTTGTGTCCTTGGGAAAGGCACTTTACATGAATTTTCCTCACTTCACCCAGGTGGGAATGGGTACCCGGCTATAGACAGCGAAAGATCTTGTCAGTTAGTGTTTGAGCGCTTTATCGGCTGCTCGCACTGTATGCTTCCCAGGAAGCTGAGAATGTTTCGGAGTGTACTATGGTCTGCTGGGGTAATAATATAGTGTAAAGCGCATAGAGCCTGCTGTTGAACGGGGATATGCGCTATACAAATGCTATCTATTATTATTATTATTATTTAATGAAAAAGTACAGGTTGTGCACATTTCTTATCGTGGGTCAAACATTGCATATTTCTATCATGCTTGGAGGAATTAACGATTGCCTTTGATAGAAAAAATATAGACAAAAGAAAATATAGTGAAATTCATCTTCAATTTCATGAGAGTTTCACCAACAGATTGTTATTTATTGGAAGGCTATGAGGTTTTACCAAGCTCGTGACTCTTCTGTTCCAATACCGTGGGGGTCTGATAATACTCAGCTGTTTCTTGATACGGTATAGTAAGAGAATAAATCATACCTGCGACAGACTTATGTTCTGCACTGGGAAAAATTTATCCAGAACTCGTTTTGGGATACTTTGATTTTTAAAAACGGCATAATTTCCTTATACGTTTTTTCCCCCCTGCAATTCTGTTTCATGTATCTGAAACTTAAGGCAAGACGCAACATGTGTTTTACGAAATCTGCAAATGTAAGGTGTCGATTAAAATTTGTGTATGATTTTCGAAATGTGCTACACCACTGTCTTTGGTCTGCCAGTACTCTGGACAGAATGTGTCCACTACATCCTCATGATTGATTGGGTAGATGTTTTACGGCACTATCGACCCGATTTTGGTCATTTTAGTGCCAAGAGGTTTCACCGCAACAAAATCAGACGTGTTGCAGCAAAAGTCTTTCGGAGCTCGTAACTGCACACGGTCACACTATTCTCACTATGCTAAAAGGACGGACAGACATTTATGAAAACTTTTGTAAATATGGTAAAGACATTTACATTTGTATATACAATATTAATTTCAGTGTATGTATATATATATATATATATACTCTGACAACGATAACTATGTACTTTTATATCTTATTAAATAGTCCTATTTCTTTAACACTATCAGTGATGGACGATTGTTGGAGTAGGAGTTTTACAGCACTATTGGGAATGTGATGATTGTTTGTTGGAGTAGGTGTTTTACAGCACTATTGGGAATGTGAAGATTGTTGGAGTAGGTGTTTTACAGCACTATTGGGAATGTGAAGATTGTTTGTTGGAGTAGGAGTTTTACAGCACTATTGGGAATGTGAAGATTGTTTGTTGGAGTAGGTGTTTTACAGCACTATTGGGAATGTGATGATTGTTGGAGTAGGTGTTTTACGGCACTATCAGGAATGTGATGAGGATACCACAGCCACACTTACTTGGAGACCAGTCGGAACACGTTCACAGGTAACTGAGGCATCTCGAGGTTCTCACACATGATTGACGCCAGCGTTGTTTCTCGGATGTTTTCTAGCTGGTCTGAAAAGTCGACAAGATCAATCAAGACACGCTCAGTCAGTTTCCACCCCCCTCCCTCCTCCCGCACGCCCGAACCAAACAAGAAAACAAATCCCGGATTGAGTAGTTACCAAGGGTTGCTCAACATCAGACAGTATTAACCTACTCGCTCCTTTACAAAGCACTGACCCATTTACTTCCTCCGACGATATTAACCCACTCGCTCCCTCACAGAATTAACCCGCTTGCTTCCTTACATAGTATTAACCCACGCGCTACTTAGACAACCGTTTAAAGAAAGAATGAGTATAAAACTCATATCCGAAGTGAATACCGTAAACATTTTATTGTTTATTTCCCCCTTACACCTTAACCCACTTACCCTCCCTCCCCTTCCTCATCCCTCCTCTTTACCCCTCCCCTCCCTCCTCTTTACCCCTCCCCTCCCTCATCCCCTCCTCCTTACCATTCCTCCCTCCACAAACAGACCCAACCACAAGCACTTTTCCCAACATTAAGTTAGCAATAATTACCCCCTCCCCCAACCCCTTTTCCTATCCTTTCATACCGTCTGTGAATCCGCATTCCTTCTCAGAGGTATCGAAGAAAAATCGATCTCCAGTTTTGAGATATGTGAACTGGTGAACGATCAGGCAGTTCAAGGTTGCCCCAACAATTCCACCTTGAATGTGTGGCTCATACAGCAGCCCAGTAAACAGATCGATGTCATCCACAGACCTGCATGTGGGAAGAAAAAAGTTGGTTGCTTTTAAGCACAAGGTCGCTATCCCAAAAAAGTCAGAAAATTGAGAAAATCGAAGGCAAAGTTTTTGCCCCTTGTTCAATTTCTTTAAAAGACAAGGAGAGTTTTCTCTATAACCAAACAAATATGCACACCAATGAAACCAAACTACTATAGGCAGGGCAATGCCCACTTTGGGTGAAGGTCTAGATTTCTGGAAACCCCCGAAATCTGGGTTAGCCCGCTTGTCCTTAAAAGCGACCAGTTTTAGTATGTTTTTATGACACTTTCAACACAAATAAGGTAATATACATGATGCACATGTGTCGAAGATCAGGTGCTACAAGAGAGTTTAGTTTTATATTAAGAGTTTTACGGCACTTGGAACAATAAGGTCATATAAGATTAAGGTGGTGTAAGAGAGTAACAAACACAAAAAGGACAGATTAGAATTATAGATGTTTGATCGGAAAGAAGAAACAGGCCACACCAGAACACCCGCCAACCATCCCCCCCAAAATAATTTCTACAATATCCTGAAGGTATTGATTGATTGATTGAGGAGGTGCTTTACACTATCGACTCAATTTGGGTCATGTAACTGCCAACAAGTTTTGTTTTGATTTTATTAGTAGAGAGTTTTACGGCGCTCGCAACTGCATAAGGTCATATGAGCGCCAGGGGGTGGGTGTCAACAGAGAAGTCGTTACAGGGAATCAGACTTACTCTGCTCACCTCTCTAGCTTCATCAGCACAAGGTCTGCTTCGACTATCAAGGCACCCCGGAAATAACAGATCACAAGAGTGTGACAAACATTCAAAAGAAGCAGAGGAAATGACAATAGTAAGGATTAGGAAAGAAAAAAGCAGCAGTTCCCTGTTGCAAATTAGGCACAGTTATGAGCGTGACATGAATCAGCCCATTAACAATTCTACTGTGCTTGAACGAGCGAGAAATGTTCCCCTTTGGGAATGGCCTAAAGACACTACAGTCTGTGGCACTGCCCCGGGGGGGGGGGGGGGGTCCACAAGTTTATGATAGCAAATCTATCACCGTGTTAAAAGGACTGACAGACATTTATAGTAATCTTGGTAAATGATAAGGTAAAGACTCATATTTACATGTACAATTATAAGTTCAGTGTACAGAAGGTATTAAATGGGAAACATTTGGAATGAATCATAATTTATGTGTATGTGCGCGCATGTGTGTGCGCGTCTGTGCACGCGTGTATGCTCACGTGTATGTAACCGCATATGTTCGCGCGTGTATGTGCGCGCGTGTATGTGCGCGAGTGTATGTGCGCGCGTGTATGTGCGCGAGTGTTTGTGCGCGAGTGTTTGTGCGCGCGTGTTTGTGCGCGAGTGTTTGTGCGCGCGTGTTTGTGCGCGCGTGAATGTGCGCGCGTGTTTGTGCGCACGTGTATGTGCGCGCGTGTATGTGCACGAGTATTTACGTGTATGTGCACGCGTATTTATGTGCGTATTCTTTGTGCTTGTAAGCGCGTGTTCTTTGGTCGTGTACGTGCGTTCTTTGGTCGTGTTAGCGCGTGTTCTTTGGTCGTGTTAGCGCGTGTTCTTTGGTCGTGTTAGCGCGTGTTCTTTGGTCGTGTACGTACGTGCTTTTTTGGTCGTGTATGTGCGTGTTCTTTGGTCGT